GAACAAATACAATAAACAAGCACTGAAAGCTATTTTTGAAGTAATAAAAATTTAGTCCATTGTGTATAAGCAATAGAAACACTGTTTTTAAACATTAAAATCTGTTTTATAGTATCACATAGTGAGCAGGAATGGAACAAAAGGCATAAAACACTATACATCGAGCGTATATCTAGATGCCATATACATCAATAAGAACCAACACCTATTTTTTCCCCAAAATAGTATCTAGATTCTTTACCCTGGCCTCACTGCTACTCTGTGTGAGATCATTTTGGTGGATGATGTCCAGGAGGTTCTATGATAGACCTCTTATTGTGGGAAGAGCCTTCCACCCTGTTCTAAAATTTGCAATGCTCCAGAACTGTCTGTCAGTTTTTTAAGACCTACCAAAGATCTGAAATTACTATCAGTCATCCTGATCTCATTTCCGCAGCTTCATGTCACAGCTGGCGTTAATGCCCTCAGTCAGAGAAGTGTATGTGTTTAAATTTATTTTCTGTCAGTGACATCAATACTAAATTTACTATTTTATAAATCAAATAAGACTTTCCAGCAAACTAAGGTAGCTCAGGGGATTCAGAATGGGTGAACAATGTTTTACCTTTAGGTCACTGGTATGAATTTAATCGTGATCAATACTTACATTAATATTTTACCATCTGATAGCTGCTTACAGGACTTCACTATGCAAAGAAAATTAGTGGTCTGAATCTGGCAGTCTCAGAGGACTCATGGATTACATGGTTAGAGAGGCTCAATTACCCTCTTACATCTAAGGGTATCTTCTGCCAGGCAAGAATAATGGCACGTTGAGGGGGCAGCATGGGGAAGATTGTTGCCCAAGCTGTAGCTAGTTTGTAGGTAAGAATTTCATTTTCTCCGTCTTCCAATCTTGGCAACTTTCATGAACACTAAATTCATTTTCAAAACGTAAGTGACTGAAGGATGGAAGTGAAAGGAAAGTGATGTGAGTTTTTATTAAGTGCCAACATCGGGCTTGACGACTGCTGTATATTTGACACTTGCAATTTCAGATGCTATATGGTAACATAACCATAATAGTATCAGATAATGGAATGCGCTAACACCCTACCTATATATGTATATAGATACAGTATATCAGAAGAAGGCAGTTTGCTGAAAACTTCAGTTAAATTAAACCCTCTGAATTTCAATAAAAAACACCCCCATAGTTTACCCAGTGTAATTTTTCTTCTCTTTAAACGCCTGTCAACATATCTAGATTGGTAGCTTTGGAAGAAGGTAATTTTCATAGTTAATGAGAAGTACAAATATTAGAAAGCAATTCCAGCCCTGTAGATTGAGGCATTTACACAAGGAGGCAGCATAGTCTAGTGGTTAGAACACATAACTGGCAGTCAGGACTCGTGTGTTATCTGCCTATCCCTGACACTGACTCAGTGTGATCTGAGGGTAACTTCATCTCTCTGTTCCTCATCCCTTGGTTTGTAAAGCAGGGGAAAATGACACCCATCTTTTAAAAAAGAAACGCTTTGAGATCTTCATATTCAGGTGCTAGTGTTTGTGTATGTGCCGTGCCATAATAGGGATTATTACTACAGTTCTATTGTCCTCTCAGAACTAAATATCCCTTATTTCATTATTTCAGTATATTTCAGTATATATCTAGCTCATTACTGATAGCTGTGCAGAAGGGGGGTAAAGCCTTTATTTTATACAACCCAGAGCAGTTGCCAATAGCTCAGCACATTACTCATTAATTTCAGGGAGTGAAATTTTTTCCCTGATGTAACGCCATTTAAGTCAATGAAGTTACATCAGGGGCAAATTTGCCCCCTTCCCCAAGTCTATAAATCATTTTGACTGATTAGCATTAATGATCTAGAAAACCCAGGATGATTTCAGTGAGTAGCCGTTAGCTGTGTTACACACAAATGCACACTGTACTATTTTTAGAAGCGGGTACAATGTATGCTACTTTTCAATTCAGACAGATTTCTTGTTCAAATTATGTAAGTGCACTAAAGCAAATAAAGAGCACTAATGTGGCTATTCTGAAGATTTACAGTAAACTGACCATTGGGAGACATTTGGGCTCTGATGGGGCACAAGGACATATGTCCCACCTATGCATTACTTTCTAGTTGCTTGATGTAATTTATATTTTTAGACCAGTAACTAAAGGTTTAATTATGTCTCAGAATTATATCCACATGGACTTCTCTGAACTCTATCTAACCAAAAAGAGTTGGGCACCTAATTCATCTAGATCTAGACTGCTTGGAAAACTTTAGCTTAGTTTCTAATTTGACACTCACCCATTGCTATCAGAATGTCTTGTTCCTACTGGATAGAGGTCTTCAGGAACATTCAAGACAATACATTGGTGTGACTAAAATTCTAACCTTCACTCTTGTCTAATTAGTTTGGAAATGGACCTATGCAGTATAAGTACATGAGCTTTCTGAGAGATAGCGCACAAGCAAGCTATTTCTAGTAAGAGAAAGCACTTGACACTTTTTTTTTCTCCTGGTTTGTTGTTTTTAATGAAAATCAGGCATTGTGAAACATAATCCAGATGGGTGATTTGTGATTCTTCAGTACACAATATTGTCTCACACGTTTATTGACACACTGTGGTTAATCTTTCCGTGTCTCTATTGATACAGCTAATTTAAGAGAATTGCATTAGTACCATAGGGCCTGATTCTCATTTACAGTAAGGCCTCCTTATACCCCACTGGCAGTTGAAAATGGCCTTAAAATTTTAAAGCCCCTTTCTACTGCTAGAGTAGCAATGTAGAGACACAATACTGTAAATAAGAATCAGGCCTCCAGTCTTTTGTTTCTGGAAAATGGGGTTCAAATTATGCATATCTGGAATTCTGAAGGACATTTATAGTATATAGCTGTTCAATTCAAAGCTTACCAATGCAACACTCAGCAGGATTTGGAGTGTTACACCCAAGCAGAAAATCAGAACACACTTGTCAAAAGGGTTGCTAAGGTTTGTGAATTTCTGGAGTGGAATTGGGACATTTATGATTTTGTGTTGACCTCATGGGAAGTAATTTTTTAGTGTTGCATTATTTGTTTTTAATTAACTAATGTATGCTCTCAGCAGTCTTATTGCAAGTTCTCCCAAGTCTCTTCCCGTTACTGCTCCTGTTGCATACCTCCATCATAATGAACCATCTATGACTTGAAGAGATATCCTCTGTCATTCACTAAGAATAAAGGCTCATTTAACCCTGTAGCAAGATGGGCTGTGTACTTACAGCAGGAACCGCTGATGTTTGGATTCATTGCTGAAACAAAGTGGTAGCTAGTGGAAAGCCTATACTTAAAACATATTTTTAGTAACATATTTCTGCTGTCATTCATCGTGATGAGCTGGACCATCATTTTAAGATGTTAGTTTTGCTCATTTATGTGATGCAGAATGGTTCAGGCCAGGTGCTGACAAACCTTAATAAATGGCTGCACAGCAACATGCCTCACTGAGTTACGGACTCTGCTAAAATTTTCAAATGTGCTTAAGGTATTTAGGAGTCCAAAGCCTTCTGGTGAGATGTAAGCTCCTAAATCCCTTAAGCACATTTGAAATTTTCATCTTTATTGCCTCCAGAGCTCTGTGTTCTGAGCTGGAAGCTACATCACTCAGGAGGTGGGTGGCTGCCCTGATTCACTCATTTGCTGGAAGAAATGATAATGCTAGACTGAGGCACTCTGAACAGCCAATAAACATTGCAGTCTTGAACTAAATGGCTTCCTCTTGCGACTTTGTGAGAGAACAAACTCGTGGGAATGGGGAATTCCTCTAAGAGTCTAGCTCCCCAGTGTGATCTTAGTAAGCTAGCTTGCAGAAACAGGTTTAGATAAGGACTCGTGATCATTTTCGGTTCAATAAGTCATTTTTAAAGAATTTTTCCTATATAGAAAAGGGGCAGATGGTGATGACCTGTGCATAGCTGCTAGGAGGGTCAGAAAGCTTTGTGAAAAAGACCTCCCCCGTTACAGGGGGCCCTCCCCACCTGCCCCCCGCAACAGCAGTCCCTGTTCATTCCTAGGGAACTACTCAGCCAAAAGGGGGTAGTGAGACTACAGCCCTGATCCCCCTCCATCTGCCATCCCCCACCCCTGGTATTTTCTCTAAAGGGACAGGCTATTTGTGTCAGCATAAGAGTTGTGCAAAGTGAGTATCCCACTGGGTGCAGAGCAGCTCTTGGAAAGATTATGCTTCCTTGAGGCAAAATTTCCCATGTGCTATTCCTGGGATGGTGCACTGACCAGGGCTCAGGCATACCAGCCCCAATGGAGCCCCAATGTCTTTCCTTCTGTTTTAATGTGTACATAGTTAATCTCCTATTATAACCCCGCCCCTGTGTTCCTGATACTTGCACAGCCTGAAGTTTTTGTGTTAGACTTTGAAAATTCTGCCCAATTATTTTTAACATAGCCTACATTTAAGCTCCTAAATCCACACTTTGCCACTTATATAAGTGACCTGATTTTCAGAGGTGTTGGAGAGCTGCCAGCACCTCTGAAAAACAGGACTCTTATTTATGTACCTAGCTCTAGGCACTCAAGCATCATCATTTTGGACAAATTTCTTCTTATCCATCAACATTTGTCTGTCTATAAATATAACATAAGGAACAGCAGCTTAAGGATGGAAGGAAGGAAGCAGTCTACTGTGCCTATCATTCAAAAATCCTACTAGAGAAACCACAGAAGGATTAGCGAAGCAATCATTTATTCTGAGCTATTATGCAAACAAAACAGGTGGCAGAGTCATTTATTTTTAATTGTCCCTTTAAAACTCAAATACCAAATTCCCTTGTCACAACTGGCTTTTAGGCCTGTAGGAGCTGGCTGTGACGATGTACAGTACATATCTAATGCCCAGAGACATTGGTCTCCTAATTGGAAAGGAGATGAAATTTTCAAATGGTAAAGCAGGATATTTGTTAATATTCAACACAGTGATAGAACAGAAAGAATTAAGACCTTACCTAGTGCTGTTCTTGCTGGTGTAGCATCTTTTTTAATCCAGAATGATACCCAGGATAACACAACTGTTAAGATGCAGGGTATGTATGTTTGAATAGTGAAGTATCCCATTCTTCTACTTAAATCGAAGTATATAGTCATGACTATGTAATCACCTGCAACAACAGGAAAGAAGCCAAAAAGAATATTGTGATGAAGTTCAGTTACTCAGTCGCCTCACTGGTAATCTTTAGAGCAAGTATTGTTTCAAATATGCAAAGTGTATGAAATATTTCCTTGTATTCTGAGACCATCTGTGCAAAAAAGCCCAGGCACAATGCAGCTGAATTAAAGCTTTCTCACTCAGAATTTCCTTTGTTTTATCCCTTTGATAGAAATTTCAATGTTTCTGGACAGCTGGTGTGAGGCGGGGAGTGGAGATAAGATTCTTCCTCTCACCTGATCTTGACTAATAGGTTTTCCGAAGGCCTCTCTGCTTCCTGAGGCTGGAACTTCAGAATGATTCCATGGTAAGTATCACTATCATAGAATATCAGGGTTGGAAGGGACCTCAGGAGGTCATCTAGTTCAACCCTCTGCTCAAAGGGGGACCAATCCCCAGACAGATTTTTGCTCCAAATGGCCCCCTCAAGGATTGAATTCACAACCCTGGGTTTAGCAGGTCAATGCTCAAACCACTGGGCTATCCCTCCCCACCACTAGGCTACCATCTTCCCACAAACTTGCAGTGGCCATTTCACCTTCCCTCTGCCTTCCCTCCTATGGGTGCACCTTCCCTGCCAAACACCTGATTTCGGATTTGATTGGCTTCACCGTTTCCCCCTCGGACCACAATGCTGCTCTACACAAGCTGCTAGGGGTCCTTATGCAAGATGAATCACACAAACTTTCTCCTTAAACTGAGAACTTGTTCACAGACATTGAACTGATTGGCTGATTAGGGGGCCTATAAAAGAGGCCTCCCAGCCAAGCAGCGGCACACGCAGCGAGCAGCGGCACCCAGGAGCCGCAAACAGGGCTGCTAACAGGGGAGTTTAAGTGGGAGTTTACAGGGGGAGGTGGAAGGGGGGGCAGGTGGGCGCGGCACGCGGTGTGCTATGTGTTCCCAGGAGCAGCAGGCAGAGACCACAGCAGCCATGAGTCAAGCAGCAGGGGACACTATGCAGATGATTGCATGCAGCAGCTGTGGTATGTACATGGTCCTCCCTGGAGAGCCTGAACAAAGGTATGTGTGCATGAAATGCCGCCTAATAGACCTGCTAGAGGAAAAGATTAGAGGGCTCCAGATGCAGGTAGATACTATGGTAGAGTTTAGAAGGGGATTCGAGCAGCTAATGGAGCAGAAGCAGGGTGAGGCAGAAGGGGAATGCTCAGGGGTGCAGGTGGAAGCACAGGCAATGGTTTGTGAGGGGGGAAGGTCAGAGGAAGAGCAAGATCAGTGGAAGCATGTGACTGTGAGGAGCAGGCCAAGGAAAAGGAGGGCTAGTGAGGGGGGAATAGAACTCAGGAACAGGTTTGAGTGTTTGGATAACGAGGAAGAGAGGCAGCAGGTGGTAACTGATGGTGGGAGGCAGAGGAAGAAGAGAAGAGCGGCTAGTCCGATAGAGAGAGGGCAGGAGTTGATGGAGACAGCACCTATACCGGGCCCCAGTACAATAGAGGATGGCACTAGGGGGACTATAAGGGAAAATAGAGAGACACAAGAGGTACGACTGCAGGGGACAGGGGATAGATTTGTACAGAGTACTGTCACCAGGCAAAGGCAGGTTTATGTGATTGGAGACTCCTTGCTGAGGAGGTTGGACAGGCCTGTGACCAGAGCGGACCCTGAAAACAGAAGGGTGTGCTGTCTGCCGGGCGCTAAGATAAGGGATGTGGACCTGCGGTTGAAAAGGATCCTAAAAGGAGCGGGTAAGAACCCATTGATCATCCTTCATGTAGGAACGAATGACACGGCTAGGTTCTCGCTAGAGAGAATTAAGGGAGATTATGCCAGACTGGGGAAGACGCTTAAGGAAGTGGAGGCTCAGATTATCTTTAGTGGGATTCTGCCTGTTCCAAGAGAAGGACAGCAAAGGGCTGACAGAATTATGAGGATAAATAGCTGGCTAAGGGAGTGGTGCTATAAGGAAGGCTTTGGGATGTATGGCCACTGGGAGGCTTTCGGGGACAGACAGCTGTTCTCGCGGGATGGACTTCACCTGAGTAGGGAAGGGAATAGACTTCTGGGAGGGAGGCTGGCTCATCTCATCAAAAGGGCTTTAAACTAGGAAGTTGGGGGAGACGGTTGGGAGATGTTCAGTTAATCTCCACGCCAGATTCCAACACTGAAAAGGAGTGTGAGGAGATAAGCACAGACATAGGTAGGGGTAGGGATTTGGACACAAGAAAGAGGGGGCAGATGGACAGCATGGGGTCCGTTCCAAATTGCATAACTAATGGGAGAAAGGATAGACAGCATACGGTAAGATGTTTATACACCAATGCGAGAAGCCTAGGTAACAAAATGGAGGAATTGGAGCTCCTGGTCCAAGAAATGAAACCTGATATCGTAGGAATAACCGAAACATGGTGGAACGGTAATCATGACTGGAGTACAGGTATGGAAGGGTATGTGCTGTTTAGGAATGACCGGAAAAAAGGTAAAGGTGGGGGAGTGGCGTTATATGTCAATAATGAGATAAAATGTAAAGAAATAATAAGTGATGGGATGGATAAGACAGAGTCTGTATGGGCAATAATTACACTGCATAAAAGAACTACTAGAGCCTCCCCCGAGATAGTGCTTGGGGTGTGCTATAGACCGCCGGGATCTAGCCTGGAGGCGGACAAAGAACTACTTAACGTTTTTAGGGAAGTAAAAACTGATAAGAACTGTGTCATCATGGGGGATTTTAACTTCCCAGATATAGATTGGGTAACAAATGCTAGTAACAATAATAGGGCTCAGATGTTCTTAGACGTGCTAGCTGATGAATTCCTTCATCAAGTAGTAAGTGAACCGACGAGGGGGGATGCCATTTTAGATTTAGTACTGGTGAGTAGTGAGGACCTCGTTGAAGAAATGGTTGTAGGGGACAACCTTGGCTCGAGTGACCATGAGCTAATTCGGTTTAAACTTAATGGAAGGATTAACAGAAATGATACTGTGACTAAGGTTTACAATTTCAAAAAGGCCAACTTTAATAAATTAAGGCAACTACTTAGGGAAGTGGATTGGGCTAACATACTTAGGGATCTAAAGGCAGATGACGCCTGGGATTATTTCAAGCAAAAGTTGCATGAGATGTCTGAGGCCTGTATCCCGAGAAAGGGAAAACGATTAGTGGGCAGGAGATTTAGACCTAGCTGGATGAGCGGGAGTCTCAAAGGGGCGATTAAGAAAAAACAGAAAGCGTACAGAGAATGGAAGAAGGGAGGGATCAGCAAGGAAACCTACCTTAGTGAGTTTAGAGCATGTAGGGATGCGGTGAGAAAGGCCAAAAGCCGTGTAGAGTTGGACCTTGCGAGGGGAATTAAATCCAATAGTAAGAGGTTTTATAGCCACATAAATAGGAGGAAAACAAAGAAAGAGGAAGTGGGACCGCTGAAGAATGTGGATGGAGTGGAAATTAAGAATAATCTAGGCATGGCACAATATCTAAATGAATATTTTGCTTCAGTCTTTAATAAGGCTAATGAAGGGATTAGGAATAGAGGGAGTAGGACAGAGGGGAATAGAGGAGGGGGGATAGACATTACAGTATCAGAAGTGGAAGCCAAACTTGACCAGCTAAACGGGACTAAATCGGGCGGACCGGATGATATTCATCCTAGAATATTGAAGGAACTGGCGCGAGAAATTGCGAGCCCCTTGGCGACAATTTTTAATGAATCTGTAAACTCGGGGGTGGTACCGTTGGACTGGAAAATAGCTAATGTGGTTCCTATTTTCAAGAAGGGGAAAAAAAGTGACCCGGGTAACTACAGGCCTGTTAGTTTAACTTCTGTAGTATGTAAGGTCTTGGAAAAAATTTTGAAGGAGAAAGTAGTTAAGGACCTTGAGGTGAATGGCAATTGGGACAGATTACAACATGGGTTTACTAAAGGCAGGTCGTGCCAAACCAACCTGATCTCCTTCTTTGAGAAAGTAACAGACCTCCTAGATAAAGGAAATGCAGTGGATCTAATATACCTCGATTTTAGTAAAGCGTTTGATACGGTTCCGCATGAGGAATTATTGGTTAAATTGGATAAGATGGGGATCGATAGGAAAATCCAGAGGTGGATAAGGAACTGGTTAAAGGGGAGACTGCAGCGGGTAGTACTGAAAGGTGAACTGTCAGATTGGAGGGAGGTCACCAGTGGGGTTCCTCAAGGTTCGGTTCTGGGTCCGATTTTATTTAATCTATTCGTTACTGACCTCGGAACCGAATGTAGGAGTGGGCTGATAAAGTTTGCGGATGACACAAAGTTGGGAGGCATTGCCAACTCGGAGAAGGATCGGGATATTCTACAGGGAGACTTGGATGACCTTGTAAATTGGAGTATTAGTAATAGGATGAGATTTAATAGTGAGAAGTGTAAGGTGATGCATTTAGGGATGACTAATAAGAATTTCAGTTATAAGCTAGGGACGCATAGGTTAGAAGTGACTGAGGAGGAGAAGGACCTCGGAGTCCTGGTTGATCGCAGGATGACTATGAGTCGGCAATGCGACGTGGCTGTGAAAAAAGCTAATGCGATCTTGGGATGCATAAGGCGAGGTATTTCTAGTAGGGACAGGGAGGTGCTGCTTCCGTTATACAAGGCGCTGGTGAGACCTCACTTGGAGTACTGTGTGCAGTTCTGGTCTCCTATGTTTAAAAGGGATGAACTGAAACTGGAACGGGTACAGAGAAGGGCAACTAGGATGATCCGAGGAATGGAAAACCTTTCCTATGAAAGGAGACTCGAGGAGCTTGGTTTGTTTAGCCTAACCAAAAGAAGGCTGAGGGGGGATATGATTGCTCTCTTTAAATATATCAAAGGGATAAATACCAGGGAGGGGGGAGGAATTATTTCAGCTCAGTGCTAATGTGGACACGAGAACGAATGGATATAAACTGGCCGTGGGGAAATTTAGGCTTGAAATTAGACGAAGGTTTCTAACCGTCAGAGGGGTGAAATTTTGGAA